CCTGAAAACCTGCAATGGCTTTAAAATACCAAAAAAAACCAAAACAAAACCCCAAAAAACTCAGCCAGGCAATTTCTCTTACAGTTCTCTAAGTAATAATTTTCCCCTACCTGGGTGAAAAATCAATTGTCAAAGGTGGCTTTAAGGAAGAGAATATTACAATGAAGCTGTAGAATTAGTGGGTTGCCAAGCACCCAAGTCTGAAAGAAGAAAGTAAACCCCAAAGTATACAAGATCCCAAATCTCCTGAAGGAGCATTCCACAACATTGTACTGCACCTTATTACCACAAAACAGCTAATAAAATCCTGTGCTTTAATAAGACTGGCTGTAAAAAGACTGTTCCACTGTTCAAACAGTTGAAAGCCAGACTTTGCTGGTCTTTGATGAGCAGCAAGTTAAACAGCTGCCCAGGTCAGATTCTTTTCTGGTCAAGCATGGAAAAGCGATGATTTAGTAGCAGTGCAAAGATGGAGCTCACTTTCAGATGAAAAGAAAGAAAGAGGCACAATTTAATCCTGCAAATTAAAATCTTTGTTGCATTTACATCTTAGTTACTTGGATGGCTCTGGCCCTTATGAAAAGTGATAGGGAACATTTCCTAGTCTCTTCGTGCAAAAGAGTTTGCTCATCCTGAAGTTGGTTCTCTCCAAAATACATATTGTCACTCTGGTGATGCAATATTTAGACCAGGAATTTTGGGGGGAAGTGATGTCCTTTTAGTTTTTCCATGTATTCTCCAGCTGGCTGTACCTGAGAAGCAGCTCTCTCAGCAGTGGCAGAGGAGCAGGCAGAAGATCCTGGAAAGGTATGCTGGAACTCCTTCCTGACCTCTTCTGCCAGCCGGCTGCTTGGGGTGACCTGAGTGAGGGCAGCAGAGGCCCTGCCTGGCAAAGGTGTGACCTGGGAGGCCACACTGCCCATCTCCTGCTGAGGGCCTGTGGGAAACCACGGCAGACACGTGGCTGCAGGGCAGATGGGGAGATACAGGTGGATATGTGGTGTGGGAAAAGGTGGTGATTGCCTACTTGTAGTAAACCTGGGTATTTTTCAGGGCTCCTCCTCTCACCACCAGCAACACTGTCTGCAGGTGAGTCCTGTTAATCCTCTGCTTTTACCTGTTACTTGGCCTAGTGGAAGGCTGTGCCTTCCTTAGGTTATTGCCTTTGGTTTGGAGCCCTAGTGATGCTTTGGCTATTGCTTGTCTGTCTCTCATTTGGGAGGTCTGCCATGCCTCCATGGCTTGCTTTCCTTCTTGAGAACAAGCCCATCTTCCTTGCTCTGTACAAGTGAGGAGGAGGGGGTCCCTCAAGAAGGGATCAAACTCATTTGTTGGGAAGGAGGTAGGAGCAGCTCTGTCTTCTGTCTATGCAGCACCAGAGCCACTTTCAATTCCACCATGAGACAACCCTGAGGGCCAGGCTAACCTACAGCTACTCCCATCTCAGTGGCTTCTGTCTGGGCTTGAGGACAGCAGATAGAGTCTGACAGGTACGGGAAAAAAAAGCAAAACCCAAACCTGACCATTGCCACAGCCAGTCCAACAGCATCATCTGACAACACATGGTCAGCTCCCTGCCCTGGCTGGGAGCTACAGGGTCCAACAGGATTGAGTAAGTTCCTCGAGCATCCCAGCTTTCTCTAGAGCAGGCATGAGCACAGATTACTGAACTGCTGATGTGCTTAGGAATTGATCCCTCCAACAGCATGCCAATCTCTGTGGGGTACCTAGGAAGGCTTTTAGAGGTTGGTGGGGAAGGAATTATTCAGACCACCCATCCTAGCTGGCTAAATTACCCGGATAGTCTCTTCTAACTCCTTTTCCAGTCACGGATGAGAGAGAGGACAATTCAGAGTAAGGCTAATTTGGGTGCACTGAATGACCCTCTGCAGGAGCTTTGCTTTCCCTCCCTCGACTACAGAGGGAGCCTGGGGAGACCAGCTGGTTACATTTAACTGCTAAATTGATTGCCAAAAGATGGGTGGTGAGAATTCCTTCCAGTTTCCACTTTGCCATGGACCACACTCTTCCCACAGCAGGATGCTCGCTTGCTCTCTCCTGCAAATTTGGAGACTGCTCAGTGCAGTGGGATACAGGCCCCCAGGAGCCACCACAAGACAAAAGCTGCATTACACAGTTGGCAGGTACTGTACAGCACTGTGTGCAGGGTTTCATGGACTTTAAAGCAGCTTTGCTTTTGGGAGCCTGTTTAACAACTTGAATTCGTATAAGCCAAGTTTTATGTATGTTCTGAAATTTAAAAAACAAAGTGAAACCTCAAGCAAAAATTGTCACTAGGGAGAGACAGACAACAGAAAAGACTTCTAAGTTCATTCCAGATGTTACAAATGGAAAGGAAGGTGAAACCATTCAAAATAAATGCTGCTGAGGTTGCCCTTTGCCTGATAAACCCATTACAAATTAAAACAAAAGCAGCCAAGATCCAAAGGCTTCAGGGCATCCATTAGCCCTCTTTTACCTTTTAGAGCTCATAACACATACTGACTGTGGGCGTTAGTACTTCTCTAATCAAAAAGGCCAGTTCTCATTCTGGAAGCTTAAAATAAAAATTTCTGCTGTATAAAAGCCAGCAAGTGTAAGAATTCAAACCTAAACCTGCTACGATAATTCTCAGGCTTCAGGATTATTTTATGCTCAAGAAGTGATCTTGCTTGGTAAATCACAGTGCTGTGGCATATCACACTTCCAAAGGCATTTGAAAAAAAACAGTAGTTTATTAGAGTTTTTTTCCTTTTTGAGAAGAGAGTAGTAACTGTCTGGATTCCCTCCTGTTTTCTCAGTCCCTAAATGTTCATAACACCCTGTTGGGGAGGAATAATTCCCATCCAAGTTGTAAAACACACTTATAAGTAGATGGGAAAAGCATGAACAGAGCTGTACGGAAAACAAAACCGCCAGGAACAAGATCTTATTTTGCATGCTTCTCACTGTTGTATTTTTGCCCCAATTAGCATATTTTAAAGACAAGGCTTTTAAAAAAAAAAAATTCTGCTATCTGCCTGAACTGTTCTCAAGCTTTGAACTTTTCCATCCTTTCTATTGATTATGGCCAAGTGACCCATATTTAAAAAGCATTTACAATAAAATTATAGCACTTTCTTTTGTGCTGCTGGCTTTCCCAGTGAAAAGCTAAAATGTTTTAAAATTGTCACTTTTTGACAGAGGTAATGGCTGTAATATATTTAGTCTCTTCCCCCTTGTTGTGCTTAAAATGGCTATGCTAATAAAGGGCACAGCTGTCGATACTTTATGGCCTGCTGGGGGGAAGAGGGGGAACGAAGGCAAAAAACAGATTGACTGTGTGTCAACAAATGCAGCTGGGAAAGAAAAAAAGAAGCCCCTTGAAGGCCCCTGCAACCTAAAGTCCAAGATAAATGATGTCCCTATGCTTAAAAAAAAAAAAATGGAGGTTGGAATTCAATAAAGGGGAACTGAAAAGGAAACTGCTTAAAACTGAAAGCCTTTTCTCTGCCTCTAGACAGCTTACAAGAGAAATGAGCAAAACTGACCACAGAAAGAGGGTGAGCAGCCAAGAAAGAAAACAAAAGCCTATCCTGGAAAATATATTGCGTCAACGAATTATCTGAAGTGCATTACCGCCAGCGGGCGGAGTGCGTACAGTTTAATGGAGATGCGACAACTTTTACATGCCGCTGCCTTTTGGGGACCAGGCTGCTTTGTGCGCAGCAGAGGGAAAAGGGGAGCTGGAATTATTCATAACAAAGCAATAGGACTGGGACAAAACGGCCAGCGGGGTGATGGTGAATGTCGCTCCTTGGGATCTGGGCTAGGCTGCCCCCAGGGCTTCTGCGGATGTCGCTCCTTGGGGATCTGGGCTAGGCTGCCCCCAGGACTTCTGCCCATCTCAGCAGTGCCCGGCAGCTTCGCTCCCTGTGCACCCCGCTTTAAGGGTTTTTTTACCCCAGGGCTGCTCTGGTACGAGCTTCTCTGGACTTTGGGAGGCACCATGAAAAGAAAAAAGTAATGCTTCTCCCCTTCCCGGGGACAGCAGCCGTAGGAGGGAATGCCATTTTACGTCCTGGCAGCCCTGTCAGGCCTCATTCCATTACCCGCAGTGAGCTGGGCCCACATGACATGGCAGGCACGGCCCTTCGTGCCCACCTGCACCTGGCCTGGGAGGCCAGCAGGGACCGGCCACTCTTCCCAAGCCCTGCAGTGGGGACAGGTGGTGGGAGCTGTGCCTCAGTAGGCTGGGGAGGGCAGAGGGAGAGGCACCATTGCCGTCGGGAAGCCCTGCAGATCATGGTGGGCCTGTCCTTGCCACCCCAACTGTGCTGCAGCTGGGTTGATTCCAGAGATGGCAGACCCCAAGGATGTACACAGCTGGGATCCTGGTGCTTTTGCTACTTGTTAACTAATGGTCTGTCTTTTTATTTTCACAGCAATGTATGTTAGGACCCAGTACAACGCTTCAGATAGAGATGGCTCCTTAAATGCCCAGCTCAGAGGCAGAAACCCCTGGGCTGTCCCTGTGAGGGGCTGCAGCAGGTCCTGCCTGGCTGGTCATGGAGAACCTGGGCACACCATGGAATGGCTTGGGGCCATTCCTGAGGTACAGTGAGAGAAGCAGTAGGGTCGTAAGGGGTGTAGGAATGGGGAGCTTGAATTAATGCAGTGAGGAAGTGGCAGTATTTGGTGCAAACCTGCAACAATCAGGCGGTTTTCATGCCCCAGGTCATGAGACAGCTTGTTTGCATGGAAGCAAACTCATAATAAAATAACAAGTGACAGGGAGCCATTTGTTCATTGTCATTTCTTAGACAATTATGGAAGATGAGGACAGTTTTTCCCAGCCTTAGGCTGGGAAAATGACTTTGTAAGTAGTCTTGTCTCCTAGAGGTATGCTGAGAGTATGGGTAAGGCTGCGTCAGTGCCACCAAAGCTCCTGTATCCCCTGGTAAGAACCAGGACCCAGACACTCCTGCTACCTGTTTTGGGTCTGGAAAGAGGCTTTCTGGGAAATAAAGGTTTGACAGCAGGTGAGGCCAGGAGAGCTGGTTAGCCTGCATATAATCTCTGCTTCTGCATTTGGAGGGTGAGGAGACACAGTCTGAGGTGGGATGTCCTGCTTTCAGGAATCATTCTGAAGGTCTTCTCTTTCACTTTCCCACTTCTGTCATTCTTGACTTGCACCACCTTTTTTTTTTATTTATTTTTCACTCAAGACCTTTTTTGCCTAATTACTTGCTCCTATTCAAGAATATCTGGAAAAGTTTGTCAGATGGAAAAAAGAGTTATCTGTTTTCTCAGTTTCCCAATTTTTGCATATGTGTATTCTTTTTAACCTCTGCAAATTCTCTAAGAATAGGAGGAAGGAAAAAATGAAGTAACCAAAGACAAGGCAAAATCAGAAAATCAAAAAAAATTCTGAAATTAAATTAAACTGTCATATCAAATTTTTACTAAAACAATGGGTTGTTAAAATGGCGTAGAAAGTGCTCATTTCCATTTGTAATTATTCGAAAGAGTTTTAAAAGGCCATAATTTTTACTATTTCTGCTAGATTTCATTTGGTAATGCCCTTGTACCAGTAGAGGTCAATACCTCCCAGTGATTCTGTGTCTGTGGGATGAACAGTTTGGGTTTGGTTTTCTTTAGAAAAGAGTGGAATTTGGTATGGCTGATGTGCAAGAGGAAAAACTGAAAGATAGCTGTGCCCAAGGACAGAAGAGTTAAGAGATTCCCCACCCACACTTGGGACTTTGGGAAGCAAAACTCCTTGCCTGTGACTGTGACTCATTGTGTGAGTCCCACTAGCTCTTTGTAGGTGATAGTTGGAAAAAAATGGGTAAAAACAAGAGAAAAATATGTGCACTGTGTGTGTGTTATACAAATGATATGTTTACTCGTGTGGCCAGGCAAAGGTTCTCCTGAAGCTGGGTTAAAGGTGGAAAGACGTGGTCTCTGTTAAAAGTAAGAAGTAATGCTATGAGAAAAAGCAATGCTGAAGTTGGTGTGGTGCATGTAGCATGACTGTAAGTAGCTCAGCAGTATCTGAGCTGTAACTGCTGTTGGAGAACATTGTCCTCTGGAAAACGTTCGACAGGTTCCTGGAAGGTCTGTGGCCCTGGGGAGACTCAGTGTCTATATTCGCGATTTGGAAAACAACCTGAAAGGGCTGGAGATAGCACAAAGATGGTGTGTGACAGTCAAAGCCAATGAGTTACACAGTGGCTGCATAATCTCTGCAAAAGTGCCATTAGCCATAAGGAGCTGATCCCTTCCATACAGTGCTGGTGAGACCATGACTGTGGGCAGCTTCCACGCCCATAACCCACATATCTGCAGAGGCCTCAAAAACCCAGTGAGGTGATTTATGATTGTGCTGCTTAGCACACTCAGTGGAAGGCTGAGAGAAGGCTGTGTGGGAGCCACAGCAGACAGTTTTTGTAATTTTTGCTTTGCAGACCACCACGATTTTCCAGGGGAGATGCAAGCCTGGGATAGCGGCTGTTGAGCTCATAGACTCGCTTTGTTTAATTATCATTCGCAGACTGTTTAACAGGGGCCTGGAGACCCTAGGAACTGCCAAGAGCCAGAGGTTGGCAACCACCAACATCTCTGTAGGAAGAAGGTATGTAAAACCTCTATTTATTTAATGGAGCTGAAAAACAGCCTGAAATGGTATTTTATGTACGTAATTGGGCATTGAAGTGACAGATTGAGAGCTCTGGTGGGCTTGCTGTCACCAGAAGCTCTTCAGTTGGTCAACTCGCTTTTGAATCTGGACAGCCATGCTTGCTGCTGCCATTGGTGTTTCATGGGCTGTGGGGTATCTGAAGGCTCTCAAAACATCTGTGCTTTGTACCAGTTACTTGTAATGCCTCTCTTCATGTCAAAGCCTTTCAGGTATGGGGTCTCCCACAGTCCTTTTAAACAAAAAATTTCAGCAAGGAACTGATCAAATTTTGCCTCCTGTTGTTAATATTTATTTTTAGTTTCAGGCACTTTTGGATGTTGTCCTCATTGCTTGGTCTATCAGTTTTAATGGATAAAGTTTTAATTATATTGTGTTTCAGCCAGAATCCTTTAGGACTGGTGTTAATTCTCTTATTTTCAACTCAAAAAGTGTGGGGGTGCCTCTGCCTTCCTCCCAGGCTCTTGTGCTCTCTGATTGGTCTCCTTCCACTGCATGTGGGTGATGGGTTCTCAGAGATATCAAGTCACCTGAAATTTAACTAGAGGAGGGAGGGAGAGGGGAGGGAAAGGTTCAAGTGTGCCCTTTGCCTTTATAAAACATGACAAATGGTTTGCGGTCAAGCTGATATCTTCCTGTGTGCTATCAGGACCTGGGCACAGATTTGTAGGAAATGGGTTTTGCTGGTTCTTATGTGCATGAGCAGAGAGTCTTTCTCAACAGTTTCTTTGATAATTGTTTCATCCTGCTAATAACATTGTCGCTGTGTGGAGGTTCATGTGTGTTTCTGTCCTTTCCCTGTGCCCCCTCCGGTAGCTTTAAACCTGATGTCCAGTTTAAAACACATCTGTCAGCACAGTAAAGGTGTCAGAGACACAACACTCCCACGTTTATTGAAAATCTGTACCCTCGAAGAAAAGAGAGGTGCAAAATAGGCCCCCTTGAAGGAAAAGGTTCCAGTACGTGCTTGCAGTTTGCTGGAGAATTTCCCATGTAAATACCCCAGCTCAGCCAGCCCCCAGGTTCCCATCAGACAAACATCTGCAGGAGGCCAGATGTTAACCCTTCCAACACACTGCAGTAGTTTTGCCATGCTTCCTTCCTGCTGTTTTCCTCTCCCTCTCCCTTCTCTCCCACAAAGCCCCTGTCTTTACCTTGCCAGATGATGTTTAGAGGTGAATTTAGGGATGCTTATAGGACATTTAGGGGATGTGCTAGAGCTCAGGGATGTATCTAAGGTAGGTGTCTCCTTGCTTCTCCACTCTAGAGAGCAGGTCATCCCACCTGTGAGACCCATCTTGGGAGGCATCACTCATTCTCCAGGAGTACCTGTCTCTACAGTGACTCCAGAGAAACTGCAGTGGATCAGACATCTATTTTCCAGACAATTAAATCTTTGAGTTTAATTTTAATATTGCCTTTAATGCAGGTAGTTAAATCCTGAGACCCGCTCTCAGCAGATGTGTTTTTCCAGGTGAAAAGGGAGGGCCATTTTGCCTCCCTGCTACCCCAGAGCTGCCTTGTGAAGTGAGACATGCTACAGTTAAGGAGCCTGGAATGACTGTGCCACCCTTGCCCACACCATGACCATGGCCATTCCATGTTTCCGACTGGGAAGGGAGCTTCCATGCAGCACAGCAAGTCACCACCTGAGCGATACGTGCGCACATGTGGGTGCCCCTGTGTATTTTTGGCTCTGCTGCCAACACTTTGGAGAGAGTTATGAGATGGATGAGAGAGATTTGGTCCAGACTTGTGTCTCTATCACAAAATCGGGCTGTGGTTCAGCACCGGGCAGGCTTTTCTGCCATCAACTTACCCTTAGATGGGGACAGAGCAGCTGCTGGAACAATTTGTGGTGTGGATAACTGAAGAGTGCATCTGCAAAATACCTTCTGCTTGCAGACCCTTACATTGCCCTAAAGGAATCAGTCGATTTGCAGGGGAGGATGCTACAGTGCAGGATCCTAGAACTGTTAAAGGATTTAATCCAAACATTCAAGAGTCAGAAAGCCAGTTGGATCCTGACAGGAGGGACATTGATGCAAAGTCCTTGCTGGGTTTCTGGTGCTCAGAAATCTTCCTAACAACCCCCATGTCATGAGTGTTTTGGTGAAGAACTATATAAAAATACCAGAAGTGTGTTATGCAATAAGGTGTTTGGGATTACAAGGGAGACCTTGCAAATCTAGCCATGAAGCATCTGCATGGAAAAAAGAAAATTTAATTCGCATCTTCTTTCAGCTGCAACCTAAACTTTGTGCTAAGTTAAATCTCCCCAGCCCTGGGCTGATCCCTGTAGCCCCTCCAGGGTTTTCAATGCATCCAACAATGAAAGTGAAATCCAATCCCATCCAATTAGAGGAAAATGAATGGCTCATCTACAATAAATGGGCTCTGAATAACAATAAGCCAACAAGAGAGCAATGAACTGGAGACAGAGTACAATCTTCCTGAATGTTAATCGGCAACTAACTCCACAAGCTTCTTAGGGATGGAAAGAATTGGAGGAAAATAGATTAGGGAAGCTTTAGAGCACATTGCCTTTTAACTGCTTAGGCCTCACATTTTTACCTAAATACAAGAATGTTTCTAATGCTGCCTTTTGCAGAGTGGAGGGAGGGTGTGTGTGATGGGGGTGTTTGTTCTCAAAGTTAAATGTTTTCAGTTTATTTGTAATTTGTCGTGGTAGGTCCTACTATATAGCCTCTACTGTTATTTCATGGTTTTATTTATTCAAAAGTCCTTTTCTAAAATTAAAAATGGCAGAAGCCTTGGAAAATGCTTTCTGTAGATCTGAGAATTTGGGGAATGAGGCTGAATGAATTCAGGCCTTAGCCTGAGACTGAAGAGAAGCTGGAGAGGCAAAAAAGAAAGGATGAGGAAAACTCTGCTGGAGTTTTCCTTAAGTTCAGCTTAACTTAAGTTCAGCTGCTGAAGTGCCGTCTGTACCAGCAAGGTCCCCCGATGCTGCCTGCTCTCTGGTTCCACCCAGATGCCTTTTCATGCTGTCAAGGCTAGTAATACCTGAAATACCTCAGCTCAGCTCAGCTCAGCTGCCGCTTTCCACTGCCCTCAGCCTCGCAGGTAATTTTTGTAAAGCCAGGGAAGATGCAAGCTTTCCTGACCCACCATTAAGAAGCCTCTGCAGCCATGCAGGCTCCATATTCAAGGCAACCAGGTCTCACCAAACTGAGCTGGGCTGTCTATCTTCTCTATTCAGCCTATTAATTCCCTAATAACCTTTGCGGTTTTATCCCCTCCAGACAAGCAGAGATCTTATTCAGCCAGACCAGCACTACCATCCCCTACTGCCTACCTTCATCCCCAGGAGTCAGCTCAGAGGCCATGAGCAGTGTCAACAGCTGATGAGGCCTCACCAGGTGAGAGCAGGTTAACCTCACTGCAGCCTGAGTACATGCCTCGGCAAGCTGGTCCTCTGGGAAGTGAAGTGCTCCTGCGCTGGTGACATTTGAGGTCCAAGCCAAAAATGGAATGGAGTAACTTTTAAGTCAAATGATACAAAGTGCCTTTGTAATTTATTCTCCTAACAGGGGTTGTTGATGCAAATATGCTTTGTGTGTTGCATTCTTTATCACAAAGGTCTTCCCAGAAGCAGCTCCAAATTTGCTGTGTCATGGCCAAGAAAGCTAGCAAACAGGTCTGTAGAAAACTAAAGTATTCTTTCTTTGTATGGCAAGATGAAAATGGAGAGAGGAGCCATATCCCCCTTTCCCTCTCCTAATCTGCTGTACAAGCAAGGGGTCACTTGTATTCTTTCAGAGGAGCAAGAATTTGATAGATATGTAGATCAGCTGTTAAGTAATATACATGTGAAACTAAAGAGGAATTGGGAGGGAGAATTATTAATTTGTTAAATTAGACAACATTTTTGTCTTGGCAGCACTAAAATAAATTTCCAAAGGCCATTGTTTGTTTGAACAAAGAAAGGAAAGGAGTTGTTAGAAGCAGTTTACACAGCTCAAATGTGAGGGGTTGTGTGCATTAACAAGACCAGCCCTGGTGCTCAGCATGTAGCACAGAGAACACATTTGCTGTAGTGTGCTGGACACGCTCTGTCCAGCACTTGGGAACAGCATCACACCCTGCCAAAACTTAACATTGAGAGCAAAAAATGCCAAGGAGAATTTCAAACTCAACAAACATATTTTTTCTAAAAAGTGACTTAAACTGTTGGCCAGGACAAGGCAGTGGCCAGTAGAAGCCCCTGGCTTTGACCATTTGGGGAAAAAATACTGGTCCTTTCCCTTTCAGCAGCCTCAAAGCACCATCATCCTTCCCCTATCTTCCTTCAAACACTCAGCAGTAAACGCAAGCCATTTGCTAGAGTCTCCCACTTTGTTTTGTTTCTTGGCTTTGACTGTCACCAACCAAAAAAGCAATTCTTTGGTTAGTTGGGGATTTTCAATGCAAGAGGTTTGTTCTGCAAGTCCTGTGAAGAGTTAGGAGTGCTTTGCTCCCCAGATAAGGTGCAGCATAACATTTAGCCCAGGCCCAAGCATCTTAAAAAGCATAAAAAATCCTAGCCTTATTGTGCAAGAACTGCATGGCTTTATGCTCATCGTATGACAAAAAGGGAATGGTACCAACAGGTTAAATCGTTGGTTCATAAAACCAGATTCTGGTAACTGTTTACCCCAAACAGCAGCACCTGTTCCTCATGTGTAACAAGTTGCTACTCATCATGGGTGTCACAGTGAAGGTACAAGGTAGGGTAAGGACAATTCTGATGAAAAAAAAACATTTTCTGTGAGAGCTTGAGAGTAGGCATTTTCATTTAGAAGAGCAATATCCCATGAAAACCAGTTCCTTTTTCATAGATGCTCATCATGTTTTCATTTTTTGACAGAAAAGGGAACCATCGCCACTTTTTTCTGTGACCATCATACATTCAAAGCACTGCAGCCCAAGGGCTGACATCCATTTTCTTTTGGCACTGGACCACCTCTCCCATGAAGACCTGCACCAGGGGCTCCTACAAGGCTCCTGCCACTGCTTCACACAGTGGGCAGCTGAGATGCCCAATGGATGGATGATTTTCTCTCAGCCAGGAGTGCTTCCTCACCAGAAACTTCAACATCAACCCTGGGGTAAGGTGGTTGCATTTTGGAGACTTAGAGCTGCCCTCATTTCTCTCCCTCATCCCATCTCCAAATCTTCCTGTGACCTCGCAGTGGCAGCCTAGCCTGCAGCAGGCTGGCTGCAACGCTGGCAGAAAAGAACTTAGAGCTTGCTTACAGCATAAATCTTAGCCTTGCCAGGCTACAGGGAGAGCTTGCTGCTGAAATCTTTGCTCATGGCAAAAATCTCAGTGCCTTGGACAAGGTGTGATCTTCCTGCTTCAGTGGCCATGGTGGGCTGCTCCAGGTCAAAAGCATTTTTGGCCTGGGGATCTTGTGTCTCCCCTCAGGTCACTTACCAAGCTGAGGACCTCCATGTCCATGCATGACCCAACCCTGGGTCATCCATATAAAATGCTTGAAAAATCTCTTTTAGGTGCCTCCATCAGCTGCATCTCTGTCTGGAAACTAAGAAACAAAGACCTGTGCCTTTAATCTTGTTTGGTCTTAGCCCCTTACTTTTAAATTCTTTACTAGGGATAGATGTTCCCTGTCATATTTTGTAATCCCAGCCTGCTGAAGAGGCTGATGCCCAGAGCAGAGTGCAAGGCCAGCGCTGCCCTGGCACTCTCACAGGGCTGTTCCCACTGGAGCTGCTGGAACAAAGGACTGTTTGAGACTGGCTTTGGCGGCCCATGGCTCCCTATGGGGATCTCTTCCATTTCAGAAAAAAATCTGGCAAATTTTTGCCTTTTCTGTCCTGATGTTTGTGACTGTTCCCATGTCAGGAGGGGTAAGTCAGGAACAGAATGATTCGGGTCCTGCAGGCTCCCAGCAGAGCGCCAAAGACCAGACACCTTTCCCTCAACAAGTTTTATGGATGTTGCATAATTTGTGGGTTGATAATTAATAACTAACTCCTGCTATAGTAATCTGCTTTTGCTCTCCTCTCTGGTATCTACTGGCTGGGAAATCAAGGTGGGTTAAACAGCATTATAAATAAGGTAAAATTTTTCCCCAGGTAGTTCTTAGAGGGGATGGATGCTCAGATGACTTTTTTAATTACTGACATGAACATCTTTACTGATACCAGGAGTATCAGTGGTCTGAAAGGGAGTGCTTATTGAGAAGCGTAAATTGTTTATTAAATAATATTTTGAAAGGAAAACACCTGTTTTAGGAGGATATCTGTCTGGATGGAGGCTTCCTGTGCTGAACTGCATTGTACATGTGGGACCCAAAGTGGCCTTGTGGGTGGGCAATACTGCTCTACCATGAGACCAGTTGTACCTGTCATGGCACCCATGCCCAGGAGAGCGTGGGATATGACATAGCTTTCTCACTTCAGTTACCCCTCTTCAAAAACGGAAGCAGATTTCCGCCTTTTGTAATTTCCAGAGGCTTTACAAAGGGAGTCAAGTCTCAGGCCAGAGCTGCAGGTGGCCCTTTGGGTGGAGGTGTACAGCTTGAAGTACCCAGCTCCTTTTCTAACTTTAGACAGTCACCATCTCCCACATTTATCATATAAACACATGCTGTTTACATTCAGATTTATCCCTGCTACTGTCTTTCAAAGTCTCTTGGTAACCCCTTCCACAATCAGCTTGCTTTTATTTGAGTGACTGACCCTATAGACAGCGGCAGATACTCTGTTCCCGTGGATCTCCTAGGGGAGCTCAGCCCTCTAGCCCAGTATCTACATCCAGTGTGTCCATCAAAATTCAGGAACTACCATAATGCTGTCATACCCCTACAGCCCAAACTCAGGCCCAACTTTTCTAATGCAGAGCTCTCTGCTGCATTTTTATTAGCTGTAGGACTGCAGGAAGGAACATCTCAGATCTTCATGTGCACCTTTGCTCTGCTCAGCTTGCCTGAAAAGAGAGATTTTAGAATATCTTTGTCCCGGGGCAGCCAGGATTTAGTCTGCAAGCTCTAGCTGCCCCCTCCACTTTCTGAGGGGTTGCAGGCCTGCCACAGCCTTAGAGGCTGCCAGAGTGTAGCACAGTTCATTTGAATTTGAATAAAGTACTGAACTTTATTTTGAGCCCTAAAATTCAAATCAAAATGCAATGAGCGCACGCCTGGAGGATGTGGATTTAAAAAAGAGCCACTGAGCTCTTTTTCAGAGCTATCCATGTTTCCCATCTCTCTGGTTTTATCATCTGGAGAGCAAACAGTAAAAAAAAAAAAAAAAAAAAAAGAAGCCTCTGCATCCCAAAACATGGACTCACTGAAAGATTTTCACTGACATTTTTCCGGTGATAGGAAAAAAAATGACTCCTTAGGCAAGATATCCTTGTTTATTTCTCATCAGAATAAAATTCTGGTTAACACAGAGAGGCTACCCTAAATATCTTAGGAGGGCTTGTTTGTTTGTTTTTAAAAAAAGGGGGGAAAAAACCCTAAACCAGTAAAGTTTAATACCAACTCAGATTTTGACAATTTGGGCAGAGTTATGTTGTTTTGGAAACACAGTCAAAACTGAAAATTATCTCAAAGTTTGCTGTAGGAAAATGGCTGCCACATTAAGTGGGTCTAGCAAAAAATGCTCAGTAGTTTGTCAGAGAGGGAGAAAAACAACCACCCTGTCCCTGGAGTTACCAGGGCTCCAAATTGGGAAGAGTCACCAGGTAATCCTTTTTCAGTAGAGGCTTGCAGAGGAACTATCAAGCCAGTGCAAGAATAATAAAAACGTTAATTATAGGCTTTCTCTCCCTACAGAACACATGGATTTTAATGCCTCTTGCAGGGATTTATCACACATGAGAATGTGGTATATTTTTTACTGCTACTTCTTACTCTTTTACTCACGAAATACTGGAGTTCTCCAAATATGATGTTCTCAAAGACTAAATCCTTAGCTGGTAGAAAATGGGATAATGCAGCTAATTCCCTCTGCAGCTACACTGATTTGCACCAACTGCAGATCAGCCCCGTTACATTACCTAGGCACAGAGTGGAGTTGCCTTAATTCTTTTTTCTTTTCTCGATTTCAGTTTCAAAAATTAAACTGTCTTACAAAGTACATGTTTACAAATGAGACAAAACCCATTACACTGAAACTATTTAACGGTAAGCAGGTTAGATCAGCTGTCCTATGATAACAGCTTCTGATATTGGTGTCTCTTTTTCGTGCAGGCTTAAAACTTTACTTGCAAAATCTCCTTGTATTCCTTTGAACTCCCTTGGGAGATTAAAAACAAACAAAAAAAAATACTCCAGTTAACACTCCCTCGTTTCATTTTTAAAGGTCATGCTTAAAGCTGGCAGTTGTTATAGGATCTGTCCTCTGTAAAGAAAAGTCTTAACTAGCCAGGCACAGACTTAACCTCACCATCGAAAAACTAACATTGTCACTAGGATATGGAGAAACCATGGTGAAGAACTAGCAACAGCCAGACCACGGCAGAATGAGCAGTCGGCATCTGCTCGGTGGGCCTTTATCATGCAGTGTTGTATGTACGATTCAAAATGCACAGAACGATTGTTGAAATGATGTAGACAAATTGACTCAAATTAGTTTAGCATGGGCCATGCAAAGTTTAAGCTTGTTGAGCCCAGACACATAGCAACAGCCTCCGCGCTTTGCGAGGCTCCGCGTTCGAAGCGGTAGCAGGAAAAGTGGTATTCCAGCCCATGTTCACGGGGCTTGCTTTTGTGCCTGCCTGCCTCTTTTCTTTTAATTTTGCCTGGCTCTAGAAAGTCTTGGCAGAAGCAAGCCCTGCTGAAGACTACACTAGCACTGATAATTTTATAGAAGTACTTGTGAGCTTTAATGTCATTTTATACTTCCTTAATCTTTTGACTGTTACTTAATGACAAACAAATCCCCAAAGAAGTGGGGAAGGGGGGAAGATTAAAAGGATTTCGAGATTGTATTCTCTGCTTTCAGTCAAACTGTCCCAAATCCTGCCAACACAATTCTCTAGTGCCCTATGACACCCCTCCCCAGACCACCAGGAGTGAGTTTCTTATTGTATTTACAGTAATCTAATTACAACAGTTCTTCAATTCACAGCCAGCTTTGGTATACAGACTTTAGCAAGAACTCTCCTCTCAGTGCAGATTGCAAACTTTAATCTTTTAAACTAACACAGAACACGCCCCTTCCCCCCAAAAAATTTCTGAAATGCCTGTGTAAGCTACTAAGATGTGTTCTCCCTCCCACGCCCGCCAACGCTTTGCTTATCTTTTTGTTAAGTTTTTCTTTGTGCCAATTTACTGCCTAAGGTAATGAGAGAGTTCCTGAGAGATAGTATTCTGAAAGGTTATAAAATGATGGTAAAACCAGGTTGCCTGCCAGAAAATTTGTTTTAAAAATTTCTCTAAATATGTGTAGTTACCTTAATTTTTTTTAACTTCTTCCTGTATTTTCTAGTTGAAGAAGCAGCTATGTAGAAGAAATATAGTTTGAATGTTTTACTTAAAAATGAAATAGTCTTGGCTTAAAATTGTCGTTGCTCAAAGTCATTTGATGCAAATCTTAAAGCCAATTAACTTTATTTAGAAGAATCAGATGACAAAAGCAGATGGAGTTTGTACCTAATAAAAATGTCAAGAAAATGAAGATAGAAATTATTGTTTTACATGAAGCAAAGTATAAAACAAAAGTAGCATCCACAGTGAATTAGCAGATCGGGACATTCTTCGTGCATCATTGCAGCCATCTAGCTCTATACACGAGTATTGCACCGTTCAGTGTCAGTTCCATCACAGGTTTTTCTCTTAGAGCTTTTACAGTAACAATGGGTTTACCAATTAATATCTTCAGCAAGTTTGAGGGAGCTTTTATCTTCTTCCAGTCTGGCATTTGAATTTATCAGCTCACATACAGCCTAGTCTTGAACTCACTAAAGATAATAAAATCTTCACTCCTAAAGAGATTAGGAATAATTTCAGTCCAATATTACTGCAGAACTTGGGTCTTCCCCTGTACTGTGTTCTTTAGAAGATACACAGAGGGCAGAAGTAATGTTACATATTACATATTTCATATTACATTTATGAGTGTTTCAAATACTCAGTTTGTCCTTTGGTATCTGGTTGGGTGGTTTCTGTGAGGCTTACCAATCATTTTGCTTTCTAGTATGTTATCAGCAGTTCTTGTCATGTCAGAGTTGTTTTAATATTTAATTCCTCCTGTTGAGATACATTGCTATGTAAGCTGAAATGAGTGGACAGTCAAACCTCAGCTATTTCCTAGTATTGTCTGTGAACCTTGAAAAACTGGGAACATAGTAGTGTCTTTCTGGTCTCTTGAAAAATTGCTTCTAATGTGCTTTGGTGCTGTTTTCCTGCAAGCAAACTGTCCATGGTAATCCTCAATAAATGCAGCACTTAGTCAGTTTGTAAAATCTTTAGGTTTCTAGATAATGTGTATGCTCTGCTTGATCCAAGGAACTCAAAATAATTAAATAGCTTTGAAAAGTTCATATGAAAGATATAGCAGCTGCTTGAAAACCTCCAAGCTTTCACCAAAGTGTTTTGGAAATGACAGATTGTACACAGTAGTTAATTTCTGTGCAATTTGACTTCAATTTTAATCTCTGGGATAATAGATCTAATACTCACAGTCCAGTAATTTATCAAGTTGGACAAGGTACAGGAAATACTCCTAGCCTTATAAAAACAAAGTTCATTACCAATTTGGGAGATATTCTCATGTCAGGGACTCGGTCTCTATCGAGGGGGAAGATGCTGCATTGGGAAGAGCGGAGCAGGGAATCCCGAAGCGTATGAATGCCATCTGCTGGCACTAAAAAATATGACCCTCCACCTACCTTGAAGGCGGGTATGGAACGCCAGATCTCGATTCTCGGATTGGCATGAGCCAGTCACGTTATTCCATATATAAACTCACGTCAGTAGAAGAAGAATTAAATTGCAAACATATAAACCCTCCTTTAATGGGTATCTCTGTGCCTGAGCATTAGGTTTGTTTAATGTTTTATGTCATTTGGGCTTAGCTAGATTAGGAATAAAAAGACATCTGTGCTTGCAGCTTTGCTAAATATCATGTTTAGATGGACTAATCCTCATGTAAGTTTATATCCATTACACTATGGTTTTATTGTTTTACATGCAATGCTGCACGGAAAGGGTTCTCCCAGCAAAGCCAGGTTTAGCCCGAGCGATTTCCTCTCTCTGGGTTCATAACCAGCTTTCCTTTTCAGGGCAAAAATCAGGCTTGCTCCAGAAGGGAGTCTTGGGAGAATGAACTGCCCAGGAGGACCTAGGGGTGAAACACAGAGCAACCCAACCAGACAGAGAGAAGCCCACATTTCTACAGGAGCTCATAGCCTCTGTGAAATTCTTGGGGTTCAAAGTACAGAAAACAATAATTAAAAAAAAAAGGTGTATTTTTAAAGCAGACTAGAGTCCAACAATTTGCACAGGTCAAATAATTATGAATTTTAGAAATATTTCATGAGTATTTTAAGGTCTATCCTCTCAGCACACTCCTTCAGGAACTGGTAGTTCTACCTGGAGTATGATGCTAAAAGACAATCTCTTCCTGAATACAATCAAGCCCATGCCTTGTATTGCTGCTGGCAGAGACCTGTAGCCCATCTACCTTTATCGTGATGGGACAAAAAATCAGGAAATAAAAACTAAGTACGAGCCCTCACCATGGTTTGTCCATCTCTTCTGGGCTGATCTCAGATTCCAGACGGGGAGGTGAGGTTCCTAGGTTCACCCCTAGATTTTGACTGAGCCAGCTGAGTGTGGGCCCTGCTCTTTCTTAGCTGCTCATGTCTGGCAGAAAAACTGGCAGGAAATAAACCCAACCTGTCCTCTCATTTCTTTTTTTTTGTGAGACTAAACCAGAGAAACAGCCACTGATTAGGGACTTTCCAGCTCACACATCCAGTTCTTTGAGGAAACACCAGATCTCAGTTGAAATGCCCTTTATCACAGCAGTGCAAGGCGCAACCTTTCCAAATTTGACACAGACCAACAAACACAGAGGAACTGAAAAATACAAAATGTCAAAGGGATTTGGCTCCTGAGCTGTTTAGATTTACGGGCAATTCATTCTCTCTCTCCATAGCATTGTTCCAGACAATAAGAACCGTAAGATGTCATGGATGGAACAGCTGTCCCGGGAACTTCCACTTGGGGGGAAAGCATGTGACCAAGGTGTGTGATTTAATCTCTGTAGAAATGGGAATGATTTGAGTGGTTTTGCTTGGAAGTATTAGGCTGAATTTAGAGAGTATGTTTACAATTTTTAATCAGAATTATCACATTGTCATTTTGTAATCAATGAGTAGTCAGAACATTCCTTTGTACGTTTGATTAATTGTCTTGGGTCTATGCATGAAGAAATGGCACCACCTCCCTCATACTCCCCATAATGCACAGTGGATATGATACACTATATTTTGTCCAAGAATGGTCCATTCTTGTGAGGCTTTACCCTTTCCATGATTCATCTCAGAAAGATGTCTTCTCTTATTTTTTACTTTTTTCTTCGAGGTACTTCGTGTTGCTCAGAAATGAACCAAAGCTAAGCAAGCTGGGAAGGCTCTCATTATCTAATGCCTGAACTCTGAAACAGTGCAACTAATGATGGCAAGTGGTTAATGATGGGTCAACAAAGGGATATGACTAATGAAGGGAAAAGGATTGCAGAAATGCAAAGTCACTGAGTGCACTGTATGGCAGATAAAAACTCCCTAAGTCCTTGTAACCCCAAGCCTGCAGTCATGTTTTCACCCTCCCACTCCCTTTCCTGGTAGCACAGCAAGAATTTCCAAATCATCCATGGCAGGACCTGGCAAAGCTGCAACTCCCACTACACGAGTTCAGGCTGACCACACACCCCCCCAACCTCTGTCTGCTCCATGGGATGTCAGAGAGTTGTACTGGCATGTCCTCTAAGCAAGGACAGCAATCCCAACAATTCTTTAAAACAAAAAGTAGTTCTGTGTCTTCTACAGACTGTTAACTGCATTACAGGAGTGAGTCAGTGCTTTAAAATGCAAGTAATTAACAATTACTCTCATCATCACTGCTATTATTTTTATTCCTTTTCTTTAAGGGAAAAAGCAGTTGAAGGAGAGGGTTTGATTCAAAAATCAGGAGAAGAAAGGAAGCTATACTCCACATACTGAAGAAGGGTACAAAACCATTGTGCAGAATCTAGATGTGGTTGTATACAGGAGTCCAGGGTTTGTGAAACCATGTGATTTCCTTTACTTTTGAATGTTCCTTTTATTCACTCGATATGCCAACTGTAAGTATGGAGTGATCAGGCAGAGATCAGACACAACATTAGAAAGCTGTAGGATCACCAACTATTCACTCCTTAATAGTGTCAATAGGATCTTACTTTTTATTTAAAGTAGGTGACTTGTAGTTCAAAAGTGACACGAAGGTACTTTCTGTGACTTTTTCCACACCTATTTTACACCTCTGTGTCATATTTGTCTTTTCGTTTGTAGGAATAAACACAATAACAGCAAAAATAATCTCTGGTATGTCACTACTGTGATAGGCACAACTTGAGAACAGGGCAAGGTGCTGGCTCTCTTGATTTAGAGCTAGCATTGATCAGACCATTTACTAGAACCTAAGACAGACCCTGGTGTGGTTTACTGTTATGCTGCTACCTCTGGAAGGTACCAAGAGTACCCGAAAGCACTTGCTTATCTATAATCTGATAATTAAATAGCTGTAACTAGTCTGGAGATCTTTGCCTGATTTTTCAAATGCTTGTGTGTCTCATCAGTCCACTGGGAAGAACAAGGAAGCAGAGCAGGGAGTTGAATGTCTAATTAAACTGGTGGAAGGCAGGTATCCAGCTCTGCAGAGACATCTTGGGAGAGAAAAGCAAGGAAAGAGGTGCTCAATGCCTTTACATGCCTGGGTTTTATCTTTGGTTAGTCGTAACCTCAAAAACATGGAAGAACTTCTTGCTGCATATATCTGTAAATCCGATAATGTTAATGTTTTATTTCACAACAAAAATGGGGGCATGGTAGAGATAGACTTGAGGAGTGACTTCATGCTTGGCACGGCGTATTATTTTAAATGTCAACCTCTTGGGGAAGGTTCCCATGCCAACAATTTTCTTCAGAGGTTCGACACTATGAAAGTGGGTGAACACATACCCAACTGATAACTCATTCAACCTCCCACCTTCATAAAACAGAGTAAAAAGTCTTACAAAAACACAGTAGTAAGTAGAGCATACAGCTGGGAAACAGCAAGAAGGACATTTAATTTAAAAATTAATAACAAAAACCAAAGCGTCACAAAAGAGCTGCTGCATTTCTATGCAGCATGCCACACCTAGGAGATTAAACAGAAATATTATCATCTATACCTATTTATTCAAGGCAGGGATCTGACCTTTCCAGGCTCATTTGTTTCAGCAAACTTTGCTCATGCTACTCATGACTGCTCGTATTCACAGGACTTGCAAGATTAGAACATCAAATAACTGCTGACAATAAAAAGACAGTGTAAGACAGGAGGAACAATAGTGTTTCTTCTTATGTAATTATCTTTTTTGTTTCTTTAAGACTCTGAGAAACCACTTCAAATATTTTGATCAGTTTCCTGTCAAAGGTAAGTTCTTTAATAGGCCACTGTACTTCTATAGATAGGAAGCTTTTCTGCGATTGTTGCGAATCTCAATTAATACATTAAACCAGGTACTACAGTTCTAGTAAATACTATTATAGTGATTATTTTATTCCATGTTTGTCAACGTCTACCCAATCATTTTCTCAGCTCTACAGAAGAAATGCCACCCTGCAGGTTGAGCAACAGATCCAGACTGCCTCAGGGGATGAGTGGCTTCAGTCTTGTCCCTTGACCCCAAAATGACACCATGGCCTGACCTATAAAATGTGGACAATAGAATCTATTCACCTTTGTAAACACTAGTGCAACATATGGTTGAATAGTAGTATGTAAATTTGAAATCTTAATTAAACTGAGGCAGAGAGCCAAGTAATCACAAGACACACACTACTTGAAGCAAGCTCATTAATAGTCCTGCTGCTGGAACCAGTTTCTTAATGGCTCAGTAATGAGCTGACTACAATCTGCAAAACCACGGATCTTGATAATTTTTTAAGTAAATAATTAGATTGTAATAATGACTTGAACTTGTGTGTGCACATGTAACAAAAAACCGATACCTCCAAGCACTTAACAGACTAGGACTTAAAATCTGTTCTTGCTTATTCCCAAATTGTATTGGTATAACTCTGAAGTCAGCTGTGTTACAGAAAGGAAGGAGGATACTCTGGCTTTTCTGTCAGTACCTGGCACTGTCATGGGACTTCAGTAGGATGTTTAATCTGTTACTTTCTGACCCCTCAATCAAAGATGTTGCACAACCAACCCACATCTTTGAGTTTCTTCCCTTGCATGCTCCAGTCACTCTGTACTCCAACCAGACAGACAGTTTCATTTGCTATGAGATGAGATGCACCTGCAGGTAAGGTATCACGCTTAATCAAGCATGTCTCTTCATATGCAGTGACAACATTACATACATTTGAGTAGGGTATCCTGCTCTTTCATTCCACCCTGGTTTTGTTAGGAGGAACGTTGGCCAGCAGCCTCACTACCATCAAATGTTGGATATTAATCTCCCTCCTTCCCCTCCTTTCTTCTTTCCTTCCTTCCAGCACATTATTAACCTAGGTCATCTATTCAGGGAACTCATTTTTAAGCCCCAAGATAGATTTATATTTCTAATTTGCAAAAGCACAGTCCTTGCCTAATCTCTCTCCATTACATCACAGGTATGGATCTGCAATGGAGATGTATTCACATCCATGGCACACAACTTAGAAAATAACATCCCATAAGGTCCATCTCCGGCCTTGGCTGCTCCACTGCACAATCTCTAGGAATGGATCAAACGAAACAGCACATGCAGTATCTCACATTGCCTCCCTCATTCAACATGTCTCCTGTTTAGCAAACAGTTCAGTGGGAGTTTGCTGTCCAGTCACATGCCTGCAGAGTTCAGCAGACACATGCTCTCCCCACAGCTTTGACTTTTCACAACGTTTACCTATAATGGGAAAATGGAACTGCAAGGCCTAGGAATTCAGCAGACACTCATCACATTTTCAATTAAGTTCTGCACTGAGAGCAAAAGACTTTCAGGGCTCTTTCCTACGTCTACATTGAATCCGATACAGTAAAACTCCAACTCTGGCTGCAGCTCCCCACAGATACTGCAGCAGTAGAAGCAACCACAATCCTCATAATGGAATACAAAACGTATATATTTTTACTTCAATTATTTTCTGCATCTATAATCATAGTGCATTCACAGACAAAATCTAAAACCCTATAATCTAAATGAAGGAACCACTCCTCCACCAGGGAAGACAGAATGTTGTATTTTTTCCATTTTAAAATTGTTAAGAAGGTAATTATATGCTATTTGCAATCAAGGAACGTTACTTATTTCTCAGTAAGATCAAATAATATAAATAAGTCTTGACTGAATATACCAACAGCAGACCATCTTTGAAACTATTTATAAAGGAAATGTTCAGTGAATGAAAAATTAAATGAGACCAAAAATAGCCATGATGATACCTCTGCAACCAAAACCTTTTCCTCAGCTTTGACGTTGGTTTAGCAAAGTAACAGGGACACTGCTCATTTGTTTTCTGTTGTTCACAGAGATGTCTGCCTGAAGTTATTTCAGTTACTACACCTGTTAGTGAAACTCCTCTGCCAGTGGCTGTGGTTTAATGAGGAAGTTGGTTCTTTCTGTCAACTCAGCAAAACACTTGACTGAGTCCTTCTGTGCCATCCTAAGTCTTTCAGAGTCTGAAAAGGTTTTAATCTCTGCAATGCCTTTAATTTTCAGTTACTAGGAGGCAAAACATACTTCGATGCCTCATGCTGTAAAGTTTATGGGTGATTAACTCTACTACAGAAAAAATATTCAAGCAGCAACTCTTTCTGTTGCCACGAGAAGCTACAGGCCTTGCATTTGAAGCAGAGCACCGCATGTAAAGAAAACACTATGTACAGCTGGGCCTTAGGGCAAGGAATGAATAGCAGCTACAGGTAAATATCCTCATCTCAAAGATCAAAAAGGTGGCAACAGTTGTGGGCAGGGTTTTTTAGTACCAGGCAGGTAAACACTCTCTGTAAACACTGAGTTCGGAGAGTCCCTGACCAGTCCTCCCAGACGGAAATCAAGATCCCAGAGTAGAGCTCCTCTGAGCCTGTGTAGTATTTCTAAAGAATGCAAATAGTTCTTGCACTCCGTGTGTCTCCCATGTCCTGGAAGAACCCAAGGGGTGCTCCCTACCAGACACAAGCCTTGCTTTTTCACTTGGATTCTCCCACGTTGATGCTTTCACTGTTCAGATCCAAACCGAAGAATATGGCTGGTATTTGTTCAGCAGGTCAGGAATGCCACGTCTCTGTTACCAGCAAACCCCTCCGAGCCCATGCAGCATTGCTCTTATGGATCACATTGATGCACAAAGGAAGGAGGAAGTTTAGGCGGTATTTTGCCTATACAACTTTTTTAAACTCACAAAGCATTTCATAGTGTATGTATTCCTGTGCGGCTGAGAGTTCTGTTTCCAAACTCATATTCAAAGTGCCTGTGACTTTCCTCTCTCCCTTGGCCATCCAGCACTTCCTTATCTAACAAACTTGAAAGTCACTGTTCATCCCCAGAGATCCTTAGAGATGTACATGGAGAGGTCCCAAAGAAGGGGATGAGCACCAGAAAACTTGTCTTTCCCCAGTTATTCTCATTGGTGTAGTTACCTAGAAAGCCATGCCCACAAACCATGATGACCACAAGTTTATTCCCTACAGGCTGCATGTGAGAAGCTCTGCTCACTCGAATAATAGCTGGGATACAGGGTGCAACGTAAACATTGCTTAACGCAAACCCAGATCTTCGGGATTAGCGACGCGGCTTCACATCACGCCGCTGCCCTGGGCTGGGTGCAGCTCCTCGCAGGACAGTGCTGCTCCGTGCCGCACGGAGCTCCTGCAGCCTCCCCGCTGTGCCAGCAGCACGGCCGGGGCGCCCCAAGGGCGCATCTCTTCACCCCGACTCTCGCCCGAGGCGCTTCCCAGCCCAACCGAGCGCCGCAAACCCATCTCCTGCACTGCGCAGCATCTCGGTCAGCTACGGCAACGCCGTCACCCCTTCCCTCCTGTCCTGTGCCCTGCCACTACCCGGCACCTTCCTTCGCCTCGGTGCCCTGGCCCTGCAGGACCCTTCGGGGGCTGCCCCGTTCCCCGGAGGAGGAAGGTGCCCCCGGGCCTGTGGAAGCCACGAGGGTCGGGCGGAGGGGCGGCCCCTCTGAAGGAGCCGGCAGGGACGTGCGGCGGTGGAGGGGGCGGAGGCCAGCGGGGCTCCCGGCGCGGGGCCCGGCAGCCCCGGGGCGGGCAGGGGGCGGGGGCGGCGGCGCCCCCCGGCCGCCGAGGGGCCGCGCCGGGCGCTGGGGCGGGGTCTGCGGGCGCCGGCAGGGCGGGCGGCGGCGGGCGCCACGTCGGCAGCGGGGACGGGCGGAGGAGTAAAGTCTGAGCGGAGCCCGGGCTGAGCGAGCCGTGACCGCCGCGCGGTGAGTGAGGGAGCGGAGGAGGGCTCAGCGGCCGCTGCCCCCCGGCCCCGCCGTCAGTCGAGGAGCCCCCCGAGCGCCCTTCCCGCCGCCGGTCTCTTCCTCCCCGCGCAGGAAGGGAAACTTCGGGGGCAGGGGGCGGGAGGGCGCCCCGGCGGAGCCGCTGGCGGGAGAGGCGGGTCCGGGGAGCGGAGCCGCCGCCGCCACCTGCCCCCGGCGCGGGCTCAGCCCGGCCGCCTTTGTGCTTCCTGCCGCGGCTCCGCGGGGCGGGAGCGCCGGGCCGGGCGTAGCGGCTCCGCCGCGGCCTTGGCTGCCACGTCAGGGCCGCCGCCCTGCGCCGCCGTGCCCGCGGTGCCTGCGCCGGCCCGGCGGGGACGCAGGCGGGGGTCGCTGCCGGGCCGCCTCCGGAGCTCCGCCGGGCACGCAGGTACCTGCGAGGGGAGGAAGTGGCGGGGGCTGCGGGGCTCCGGCCGCAGTACGGGGGGGTGTGGGGTGGCTCCTCGGGTGCGGGACCGGGAGCGGAGTGGGCTGTGCCCTGCAGCTGCCGCCCCCCGGGCCGGGCGCCCTTGGCTGAGCGGCCCCCGCCCACCTGGGAGCGAGTCGCGGTCGCCTCGGCCTCGCTCCTGGATGAGCTTGTTCTCTCCCCCGTGAACTTCTCCGAGCCGGGAGACGCTTTCTCTTGGGTTTTCTTCTTTTTAAACTTTGCTGTGTTCAGATGTTTGCTTTAGTTGTCTCCTCTTTGTTTCATCTATGTATATTCAAGTCCAGCTCGATGGAGTAGGGTATGAAGAGTTTTTTTATGAACTGTAAGGGACCAGCCTAGTTTGCCATATTCACCCAGTCTAGTTTACGTGGTGTGGCCTGGAAATAAAAGCCAGTTATTGTAGCCATACGACTGGTTCTGGTCATTGTGCGAAGTGCAGTGGCAACCTCTGCAGATGCAATTAAATGCTTCCTTCTGCTTGTTTAATTGGGCTGAAAATGAGAATTCTGATTCAGGATGTCACTCTGTAAGGAAGATAAATACCAAGTGTAGGTAGCCTGCTTCAGTGTGTCCACTGCTGTGCTTCAGGCAGCAAATCTCTGTGTAATTGGAAGGCTACATAGAGGATAACTTCATTTAGTATGTAAGTACTGGTTTGTACGCACATCAATTTTAAGACTGCTAAGTAAATACCATCCAGCACTTTTTTAGAAATCTTTTCTGTTAAACTGTGGTTAAATATTCTGTAGAGTTAGTGTTGCCTCCTCAGTATAGAAATGGACTGCATTGCAAATGCACAAACCAAAAAGTGGTCCTTGTCCAGCAAGTGACCAGGTCTAAATGTCAGGCAGGAGCCAACAAACAGGTGGTGGATGCTAGGGGAAAAACTCTTTATTTCATTAGCAAGGGTGGCAAGGAAGTTCAGAAGCTGCTTTATCGCTCTGGCTGTTAGGTACTGCTGGGTTTTGTCTTTGAGGGCCTTCTGGAAAAGGAGATCTGAGACAGATGTGGAGGTCAGGCATTGGGGAAGTGTTATGAGAAATGGGGAAGGTTCTGCTTCTGAAAACTGAGCTAGCCGGAGGTGGAGGGTGACAGGACTGGTAAATGGAGTTTTCATTGTCTTTCTGAAGGTATGCCTTCCACCTTGCTGGAATTTACCATTGAATTTCTAGAAAACAGTTTTGGAGGACTAGAAAAGGGGAATCCTGGTTTCTGCCACCTTTGATTTGGTATCTTGTGAATCATTGCAACGGAGAAAACTTGATTGCCAACATCAGGCGTTCCCCAGAGCCGCTTCTGGAGCCTGGTCTATATTTTAGGTGAGAGTGATGGAGAAATATGATGTGGTAATGTCCCAGTCAGAGTTAAGGGGTTTTTTTTGCAGGAGATATAGCTCAGTTTTGCCTTAATTGTGGCACGTGTTTTTTTTTTATAACAGACATGTTGCATTACCTTCCCAGCTGTGTACTGTACCTTCCCTGCATACTGTGAGCCTGTTAGGTACATTTCTTATGACAAACTTAGTATCTTTTGGGGGAAGTTGTAGCCCATCCTCCTGTAGCTTTAGAATTAAGCTGTGGTTCACACCTGGGAACTTCTGATTAACTCTTTGTAATCTTTCTTTGCAAACTGTAGTCTTTTTTTTTTCCTCTGAAATGGGCATGCTTGCTTCCAAGCCAGTCCTGCTGTATATGTAAATCTGAATTTTGAAACCTGGCTTTTAAACAGAAGGCTTGTTGAAATGCTAGCTATGCTCTTGGTTTTTAGCCACATGCTTTCTACATGCCTGGATTTGTTTTTTTTTACTTTAGTGCTGTAGTGCATTACCTTAGTGCATTGACTCTTTCTTCTTGCAGAATTCTGCTCAGTCAACTCTGTCCCTTGCATTAACAAACTGGAAACCACATTTCCATGTCAGCTGTGCTGAGGGTTATGGCTGAGAGAATTAACAGCACTGGGCACAGTTACGTGTAACATGTCACAAGCCCCACTCCAAGGTGTAAAGCAGGGAAGCTGATATGAGGGGTTGTTTGTGCAGCTTGAAGCAGTACCCTGAAGAGCAGCCATTGGTGGATGAACCTCTTTTGGCTTCATGCTTATTTTCTCGTTTAATTTGGAGAGTAGAGCACTGTTTCAAAAATTTATTGCTTGAAGTCTCATTTGTAAAAAATTTTTTTTTCATGTACTTGAAATGCATCGGGTTCATTCATAAATCTGCTGCAGCTGCTGAAAGAGGGGGAGGAGAGCTGCGCATGTGGCAAGGGTTGATTGTTTTCCATCAGCTCCATAGCCAAGCTTCCTAACTGCGTAGCTGGTGGACAGAAGGAAGACAGCTTTTTTTGTGGTGGACTAAGACGAGGCGATCAGTTTGTTTGCAGTTTTGTCAGGTGAATAGTTATAGCACTATCTGCTGCTGCTGCAGCCGTCTGGAGCAGCATTATGCTGCCAGCTGAAATTGGCCCCATCCTTAGGTAGTTTCGTTGCTGCCTGCAAATATCCAAGTAGTGGCATTGAAACAAGGCAGTTTTCACTGGCTGCTGCTTGGGCCAGGTTTGCTATGCTGAGACAGTAGGGCTTTTTGTCTATGAAGTCAGAAAGACATCAAGGGCATCAGCTGAAACTCATGAAGTTACTCACAAGTCTATAGTGGTTAGAGCCCACTTCTCAATAGAAGGCTAAAACTTTACAAGTTGCTGTCCAAGGCTCATTGAGTGGTTCTGTCTTAACATGGATTAGCATGCTTCATAGCAATCCTCATGGCAGCACATGGAGCAAGTAAGATTATCTCTATTGCCCAAGAACACAGAAGGCATCAGTGTTTCAGTGAGATAAATCTCATAAAATTTTGGCACCTTAAGGCCATACCAAGAGTACTTCTTCCATGCTGTGGGATTTGTATATGATTCCCACCATACACCCATGGCAGGTATGTGACAGTAGCACTGTTCCATCAGATGTCATTAACCTTCTGCCTTTCTCACAGGTGTATGCAGAATACTTTTGTGGAAACAACTAACTAGAAATCTTCACAAAGGAATATATTTGGTAAGTTTT